AATGGCCGCCATTTGAAATCTACATTTGCGAGTATCTCTGGGTCAAATGCTGCTATTGACTTCATTTTGGTGTCTAAACGTATGTTAAGGGAGGCAAGGATTCCTATGTTACCAATCCACAATCCAATAATGCACAATCTAAAGCACAATTCGAATGCCCAAATCTAAATCAAAGACACAAATCTAAAATTCTAAAGCACAAATCTATTCCAGTACACAATTCAATGCACAATCCAACGGCACCAATTACAACGTAATGTTATCTTTCACACTCTGTTTTATAAAATGATCTAGGAAAATAATAGATTGAACACGATACTTTCAAAAGAATGATTATATGAAAGCATGTTGATTGATTGATTGAGTGTGTGTTTTACGGCACTATCGATACAATTTTGAAAGCATGTTAAATGGGTGAAAAAGTCTTTAGTCTGTAAATGTCGTAGGTACAATTCTAGCATGCTACATGGTCAAATTTCTGCGGCTAGTTGTATATTGACATTCTTCAATGGCTGGTATTTGAGGCTAGGTAGATATCGGTACTGAAGATGCATGTACATAAACAGTGTCATGTTAACAAGTTCAGCATGGCCACAAGTACATGACGTATGTTGTGGACACATCGTCCTGTGCAGTCCCCTTCACACACACAGAGGGCAGTCTCCTTGCTTTTACAGAGCCTCACACACCATAAATGGCACTTGCAAGAAACCAGCTCATTGCAGCTGTGAGCTGCCTTGGGTAGCCTGGTCCAGTATGGTGTGTACTGTCCTCCAGTCATAGACCAGCCCTAGTTGTTTTGTGGAGGGAGCTCTGGTGCTGACAAAAGTATCTGACCCCACACATTTCCATCTCAATACACTCCCCTCTTAACATGTTCCTCTAAAGCTGCCTACGTTGGAAGGATCCGCTGCACATCGTTTTTCCTTGCGAAGAGTTTCCTCCTGGCCGTGTCATTGTCCGTGCATTTGCTGGTTCGATCATACAACAGGATCACGAACCTCTTCTGATGATTGACATTGCATCGCTTGGTATGTCACGTGGTGCAGAGGACATCAGCAGCAGCGCCTTAGTGAGTTCTGGCAGTACCGTCCAGACTGCCCACGCAGCCTTCTTGCTATATGGGATGAAGATCTTAGGAGCATACTCTTCAAATGTCTTTAATTTAATGCAGTCAATCTGGGCGATAGCTGCTCCATCAAGAACTATACAGCTAGTGACAGGATTCTCTGTCTTGGCGTCGAAGATTTCTTCAAAGCCTGTGATGAGATCATTCTTAGTACAACTGAAGAGGTTTCCACCAGCCGACAGTGCAGGAGGACATGCCTGGTTCTTGTGACGAAAGAACTCCTTATAAGGTTTCCACCCCTCGTCTGCCAGCCAACGTACAGGCGTGCAACGAGTTCACGGTCATTTTTGACAGAGGCGAACTGTTCCTAACATTTACTCTTGTTTCTTGGAGTGGACGTGCTGAATACCTTCAGCTTTGTCACTAGGAATGGGGTCGTCCACTGCCTTTGTTCTGTCCAACAGACACTCTGTGGTGAAAGCCTCGGGTTGCTCTTGTACAATCCTCTTGGCTTTCATCATGGTCTTCACGGCAGAAGGACCTGCGATATCGTATGTGTCCAGTATGACTAGATCCTGACTCTCCCCCTCGAATGGGTTGCCCATCTACTTTATGATACCGACGAGACAGCGAACATCTTTCACAAATGAGGCATGTACACTTGGCGTCTGATTATGATGACGTGTGTCTGCTGCTTGCTTGCTGTCTCAAGTATTGGTTCCTGTCCTGGAAATATTCGATCAGCCTAGCAATTTCTGGTCTTGGAACCATCCAGCGACGAAGGGCACTAGGATTGTCAGTTAGCCCAACCGTGCCACCGTTTCCTTTGATGCAAGCATTATTCTGCTCATGTGCCTAGTCAGTCGGGATTAAAGAGAACACCCTCTGTGTTTTCTCAACTGTGAAATGGCCTCCACTGAATTTCCTGGCTACGTCTGGGTGTTTCGTAGTGAGTTTGGCGATGTTCTTCAAATGCACCGGTATCCACCTAACATAGTGGGTATGATCTAGTGCGTGGAAGTAGAAGCAGCGACGAGGGGCAGATGACTCCACTCTCTGGTGGCTGTCGGCTGGCATGAAATGAAGACCAAGATGTGTTTTATTGTCCAATGTACCAGTGTTGTCTCCCAGGGCGTGTTTTGCATTGCCTAACCAATGGTATTTTTCATCAGTCTGCTGTTTGAAGTCTTCTCTGGTCAATGACGCAACTCCAGCAGCTGGGACAGGCGACGTCTTGATGCTGCTAGTGACAGGGGGTACATCAGTATAATAGTGCGGCAAAGGGGCGACAGTCTTGGACCGTGCATCTCCAGATTCTCCAGCAACGAATATGCTCAGATTTACTCCTTCACCAGTGTAAGAAGTTGTTTGTTTTGTTTGTTTTAGTAGGGGTTTTATGACGCTCGCAACTGCATAAGGTCATATGAGCGCCAGAAGATCAGAGGTGTTACAAGAGAATAACAAACATAAAAAAGAAGAAGGGGAGATAAGGACAATAGATGTTTGATAGGAAAGAAGGAGCAAACCACACCAGAGCACCCGCCAACAAGGATGTTGTACGAGGGAGATAGCAGCACCTTGGAAGGAGTCTTTTGATGTTGTTGCACTAGGATTGTGATCTATGTTATCTACAGCGGCAATTGTGAAGTCTTTGCCGCGCACTTTTGGGGGTCAGACCACTTGTTCTCTGTAAAATTGTTGGCAGACATGGTTGCCCATCTCTGCTGAGAGCTGGAGCACTCTACCATAAGAGATACTCAGACCAAGGTGTGACAGTCTGTCGATCAATTCCTTCTTGTGTGTATGAGCATGCAACATCATCCCAATGTATGTTGGAAGTGGGGTCTCCTGTACAACACTGTGCCTGACACAAGAGGATGATGTGGTGCCACGTGTTCGCTTGTGTTTGACGCAGTTGAACTTCAGTATCTAGGCTGCGGTAATTGCTGCAGGGTTAGTGTCTGCCATCTGGTCCTTGATGCTGGGTATCTCTAGGATCATGTTGACTAAGGCAAGCAGCAACGGTTGCAACAGATTCTTCTAGGCATCCTCCAGGGAACCCTGGGAAGGGTTTGGCTTCTCCAAACATGTGACGGCGACAAGATAACGACGAATGTAGATCGAGAAGCAGTCATGTAATGTAAAGCAGCCTTTTTGAAATCCAATATGGCGACCCATTAGTACAAATAAGCAATTCAGATTGTCACCATTTGCTTTATTGACCCCAAAAACATACATTTAGACACCAAAATGAAGTCAGTAGCAGCATTTGACCCAGAGATAATCGCAAATGTAGATTTCAAATGGCGGCCATTTTGAAATCCAATATG